ACGATTGACTGTAGCCTATTGTAGAATTGATCTTAAGCGTCTTCATTGTAGTCGTTGGTAGGAGCATAGCATTGGATGATGTTCATTGAAATGCCTTCTTTCTTTGTTTTGAAGGAGGCTCTGATGATCCTTGGTCCATGAGATTCCCATCCTATGAGTGCGTCTTGTGCTCGTTTGGACAGCATCAATGCAACTCCTTGTGTATGTGGTGCATTTCCTTCTTCATGGCCGGAGTATAACAGGCGTTCTCCTGAAGTTATTCGTTGTTGTCCAACTTGCGTCCAGTGTGTTTCACTGATCCCAAGTACCTCTAGGTTGTATCTTCTCATTTCTGCAGCAATTTGGAAGGCTCTCTCGGTGTCCCACATTGTACGAACATTCCATGTACCTAAATAAATGGTCGCTCTGGTTGTCAGAAGGGACATCGGCCTCGTAACTTCCGAAGGAATTCGGCTCTCATCATGATTTTATGTGTCCTGTCAAAAACAACAACTCCAGGAGTTCCTACGGATGAAGGGGGTGGGTTGGGCATGGGGTTAGCGACCCCATCTCGTAGAAAACGTACTCGCTACAAAACACTAACCAGAAAAAAGTATTCAAACCTTCTAAACTCTGCCTTTGGGGGTCAGAAGGTCTTCTTTTAGAAGAATTATGACGCCTCATGATTAAAGACGAATTCCTTCGGAAGTTATGCGTCCGATGCCCCTTCTGACAACCAGAGCGATCATTTATTTAGGTGCATGGAATATTCGTACAATGTGGTACACCGGGGAGGCTTCCTAATTGCTGCAGAAATGAGAAGATACAACCTAGAAGTTTTTGGGATCAGTGAAACACCTTGGACACAAGTTGGACAACAACGACTAACTACAGGAGAACTCCTGTTATACTCCGGCCATGAAGAAGGAAATGCACCACATACACAAGGAGTTGCATTGATGCTGTCCAAACGAGCACAAGACGCACTCATAGGATGGGAATCTCATGGACCAAGGATCATCAGAGCCTCCTTCAAAACAAAGAAAGAAGGCATTTCAATGAACATCATCCAATGCTATGCTCCTACCAACGACTACAATGAAGACGCTTAAGATCAATTCTACAATAGGCTACAGTCAATCGTTGAGAAGTGTCCAACAAAGGACCTGACTATTCTGATGGTAGACTTCAATGCCAAGGTTGGAGTGGACAACACTAGATATGAAGACGTCATGAGACGACACGGACTGGGAGAAAGAGACGAAAATGGTGAGAGGTTTGCAAACCTATGTGCCTTCAATAAACTGGTCATAGGCGGCACCATATTCCCACATAAACGCACTCACAAAGCCACATGAACTTCACCGGACCACACTACGCAGAACCAAATCGACCATATTCGCATCAACAAAACGTTCAGGAGGACTATAGAGAACGTGAGAACCAAGAGAGGAGCTAATATAGCCTCAGATCATCACTTGCTGGTCGCCAAGATGAAATTGAAACTCAAGAAGCACTGGACAATGGGGCGGACAATATCACAAAAGTTCAATACGGCCTTTCTCCAGGATACTAACAAACTCAACAAATTCAAGATAGTCCTCAGCAACAAGTTCCAGGCCTTTCATGATCTACTCAATGGAGAAGGAACTACTATGGAGAGCAACTGGAAGGGGATCAAAGAGGCAATCACTTCAACGTGTCATGAGGTCCTGGGTCACAAGAAGCACCATCACAAGGAATGGATCACTGTTGATACATTGGATAAGATTCACGAAAGGAGGAACAAGAAGGCAGCAATCAATACCAGTCGAACAAGAGCAGAAAAAGCCAAGGCACAAGCTGAATACACAGAAGTAAACAGACAAGTGAAGAGGAGCATCAGAACCGACAAACGGCGGTGGAAAAGGCTGCAAGAGAAGGAAACATGAGACAATTGTATGACACGACAAAGAAACTCTCTGGAAATCGCCGCAAACCAGAACGGCCAGTGAAAAGCAAGGAAGGCGAGGTAATCACCAACATTGAAGAGCGACAAAACAGGTGGGTAGAACACTTCAAAGAACTCTTGAATCGACCAGCTCCACTGAACCCACCCAACATCGAAGCAGCACCCACGAACCTCCCAATCAATGTTGGCCCACCAACAATTTAAGAAATCAGCATGGCCATCAGACAAATCAAGAGTGGCAAAGCAGCAGGACCGGACAACATTCCAGCAGAGGCACTAAAAGCAGACGTAGCAGTAACTGCAAGGATACTCCACATTCCCTTCAATAAGATTTGGGATGAGGAACAAGTACCAAAAGACTGGAGAGAAGGACTCCTGATCAGAATACCGAAGAAAGGCAATCTCAGCAAGTGTGATAACTACAGGGGCATCACTCTTCTCTCAATACCGGGAAAAGTCTTCAACAGGGTATTGTTAAACAGGATGAAAGACTGCGTAGACGCCCAACCTCGTGACCAACAGGCAGGATTCCGTAAGGATAGATCGTGTACAGACCAAATCGCAACTCTACGGATCATTGTGGAACAATCAATTGAATGGAATTCATCGCTCTACATCAACTTCATTGACTACGAGAAAGCATTTGATAGCGTGGACAGAACAACACTATGGAAACTTCTTCGACACTACGGCGTGCCTCAGAAGATAGCCAATATCATAGAGGTCATATGATGGATTACACTGCAAAATCGTGCATGGAGGACGGTTGACAAAGTCGTTCGAAGTGAAGACCGGTGTTAGGCAAGGTTGCTTACTCTCACCCTTTCTCTTTCTCCTGGTGATCGACTGGATCATGAAGACGTCAACATCTGAAGGGAAGCACGGGATACAATGGACATCTAGGATGCAGTTAGACGATCTAGACTTCACAGATGATCTGGCCCTTCTATCCCAAACGCAACAACAAATGCAGGAGAAGACGACCAGTGTGGCAACAGCCTCAGCAGCAGTAGGTCTCAATATACACAAAGGGAAAAGCAGGATTCTCCGATGCAACACAGAATGCACCAATCCAATCACAATTGACGGGGAAGATTTGGAAGATGTAAAAACCTTTACATATTTGGGCAGCATCATTGATGAACAGGGTGGATCTGATGCAGATGTGAAGGCGCGGATCGGCAAAGCAAGAGCAGCATATTTACAACTGGAGAACATCTGGAACTCAAAGCAACTGTCAACCAACACAAAGGTCAGGATTTTCAATACAAATGTCTAGACAATTCTACTGTATGGGGCAGAAACCTGGAGAACTACGAAAACCATCATCCAGAAGATACAGGTGTTTATTGACAGTTGTCTACGCAAAATACTTCAGACCCGTTGGCCGGACACTATTAGCAACAACGTACTGTGGGAAAGAACAAACCAGATCCCAGCGGAGGAAAAAATCAGGAAGAAGCGCTGGAAGTGGATAGGACACACATTGAGGAAAGCACCCAACTGCGTCATAAGACAAGCCCTCACATGGAATCCTCAAGGCCAAAGAAGAAGAGGAAGACCAAAGAACACATTACGCTGGGAAACGGAAATAGACATGAGAGAAATGAACAAGAATTGGATGGAACTAGAAAAGAAGGCCCAGGACAGAGTGGGTTGGAGAATGCTGGTCGGCGGCCTATGCTCCATTGGGTGTAACAGGCGTAAGTAAGTAAGTAAGGATGTACAAATACAAGTCTATCTTCATTGTTTAACTCAATGAGAATATTTCGTAAGATGTACAAGTTCTTCTAATCTGAAAGTGTGCATTGACAATGATAATTTTACAAATTATCATATATTTAAAACAGCTTAACATTCTGCAGTCTTAGCAAATGTAAGATTTTCAGGATAACAATGAGCACAAAGTTTTACACTGGCTAGTCAGAAAGCGTTTCCTTCATTCTACGATACAAAATCACTGTGTTGAGTAAGTGCATAGTACATTGCATCTACAGAATTAGACAATAAACTTAAATATTGATCCTCCAATAAGTTAAAACGCAGTCGATAAGGTCTAAAGTTTAAGCAACTCTACTTCCAAACAGTTAAATAAATGGAAATTAAAAGAGGACAATAACGGTCTAGAACGCAAATTGAAATTTGAGGTGGGTAACTGCTTTTTCTATTCACTAAATTATACATATGAAATAGTTTTATTTACCAGACATTTTGAGGCTTCAACGTTTTAACGAAAGCCAAACTATTGGTAGATATAAAAAATTCATCGAATTATCCCTAAGACATGATTATGATGTTGGCTTAATACACTAGCGTCCCGTTTCTCTTTCTTTATGATTTAGCTATAAGGATCATCTCTGACCCATCGCGTGATAGTTTAACCTTTTTCTGGTCAAATAATTTCGCTTAGGATTTCAATTCTGGACTGTTTAGTTTTGGGTGAAATTGGAGAGAATCGTTTATTTGGATTTATATAGTGAACATCGGTCGTCAGGTAGAATCATAAAACTCTCGATTGTTTCTTCTAAGAAGAACAGTCAAGTTATACACTCGATGAAGTCTGCTTCCATATGATTTTGCAGGTTTAAATGTCTCAGCAAGCATAACCTTGGTGAAGAATCTTTTACCCAGATGACAACACTTATTATTATTATTTGCGGTTGTGGATTTAAAGCTGAATTTTTCGTTTTACCTCTGACAGATTCGGAAATCTGTTTTCTCTTATATTAGATTCTGGGACTAAATATGACCGAAAATTCACTAAATCACGAGTAGGACGAAGTGAACGCTACAAATTTTCTGTAAACCTTAGATGCAAATCCTCGTCATCACCTTACAACCCAGAAACAACTTTGAAGCAGTCTACTAATTAGTTTATTCATTATCAAATGCCAGTCACATTATTCAGATCTGCAGCCAACTTTAATGCCATAAATGAATAACACCAAACCCCTTTATGACAAGTTCAATACACAATAATCGAAGAATTAACGAAAAGACAAAAACTATAGAAATAAGTTTGTCTTCCTTCTCTTATCGATTACATACTGACAGTATACCATTTTTGTTGTTATTTAATCTCTTTAACATCTGCAAATGAGGTAGGATCAAATGATTTATCTAACACGAAAGATGTAATCAAATTGGTCACTGTATTTGGAGCGTCAAAGTGAACCCAATGACCGGTGTTAGCAATCTGAACAATTTTTGCTTGAGGGAAATATTTGCGTACAGATGGTAAATCTGATCGTCTGAACATTATAAAGAACAATGATATAAAAAGAACACTTTAATGAAACATCAACAATATTGATTACATTTCATGGGACACGAAAACGTGAATTTGTGATGATACTTAATTCAGTTCAAAAAATAAAGTCAGTTGAACGAAGAAATTTTGTTCAGCAAATTTAGTTTCAATGTAGTAAAATTAAAATCATGTGCATACCTTTTAGTGGACTTTAGTAATATACTTGCTATTCACATTCATTTATTGAACATACTGATTAAAAAACATAACAAAATTAAAATGAAGTAGTTGCATATTTTGTGGAGACTAGTCCAAGTTGAAAATATTTCCTGATCATTGATCGACATTAGCTAGAGAACAATTGAAAATCAAAAAACACAGGACAGCTCTTCCTTTTTGTTTTTGAGCTCCTACACAATAAGCCCCCCCCCAATTCATATGAGGTCAAACTGAAAACTTTTAAATATGGCAACGAACACTTAACCTTTGAAACACTGAATTAGGATCTAATAATATACATTTCAAACTTCAGTCAATTTAAGATATAGTCTGATGAACATCTGATACCATACACAGTATGGTTAAACTCTACTAATTACAACTTTTCACCAGAATTTCGGGAAAGGATCATGGTCTCAAACAAGGATATAATATAGCACAGCGTTAGCTGTACGAATACGTTGAAGCAGTGGCTTAGTGGTTAAGACATGCGATTTTCGGTCGCAGGTTTGAGACCCCACTCCGTCTACTTTGGTATGAGTAACTGGATAGTATTATTGGAACGATCACTTAGATTATAACTAATACCCAGGCACCTGGTAAATGAGTTATTTGAACTAAAGATTATATAAGCACGTGTTGTTTTTAAATTTTCTTCATACCATTAACCGATATAACGTATCACTTCAAAATATAGTTTTGTCAAAAAGAATATTTTTATTTAATATTAAACCACTGATTTCCACTTTAACACAAGGATGCGTTATCAGTCGAAAAATCAATTATTCGTAAACAAATATTCATGACAATTTTAGCAAGTCTTCACGGGAAGTTATATTTTAGGAATTCTAAATTATGCAATTACAAGTTAAGAAGACTTACCCTAAATACTTTCCATCGCTTGCTGCAACAAACATCACAGGTTGGTTGAAAACACGACCACTCAATTCCGCAGGAAAGTCTGTTATCTGATTCCAACAGCTTTTAATTGCCTTAAGATTCACCTTCCAAAATATCTCTCCATCTTTTTCTCCAAGATTTGTTAGAAGAAACGCGCGCATTGTAGGATTCTACTCAAAATAAAACTCAAAAATTTAATGATTTATCTTAAATTATGACATTTAATTAGAAAACTGCTTTTTATCAAGAAAGGAATTTCTGAATATTAATATACAAGAGACAGACAGGTGCTACTTAAAAAGACATAAAATAAGGGAGTCAAAACAAAATGAACTTGTGATGTAGATTGAGTTGGTTTATGGACAACTCTAGACCTCGATCTTACGTGTAATACTGAGTACCGACAAACACAAAAGTAGTTTACAATTTCCTCTTGACTACATACACATTAAATATCAAATGTGATACACTGAGACATTGAGTGACCTACACTTGACCAGGTCATATAAACATGATAAACAGAATACAGTTGATAATAAAGATTAACTAATATGATGTTAGTTACTATTAGATGGTTTATAAATAGGAAACGTTAAGTATCTTAAAGTTCATAACAATACACAAGAGCTAATATGAATAGGTCGAAGGTGGGAAGAATCTGCTCTCCCTCTTGAAATGCTCTCACGTGGCCACGCACAAACAACCACTGCCAAGGAAGTCCTACTCACTGCCTTCTCGTGGCGAGGGTGTTGTTTACGAAATTCAGAGGACGAAAAGCGAATTTCCAGTGCTTTGACCAGCTTCGTGAACACGGAGGATCCACCTAGAGGAGTTGGGAAACCTTTACTCCAAACTAATGGTGCACATGGGCTCCAGGAATCTGAGGGAACAAATGGCGTACGAACCAATGGTTGGCCACCGGCTACCATGGGACTGCATTTCCTGACGTTGCTCCACTGCTTTGTGGATTAGACCTTTAGGTCAAAGTCTCCGGATGTGGCTCTCTAAGAAAACCACCTGCTTCGGTCTGGGAACCCGGGCAGTATCACAACCCATATATAAATCAAGGGACTTGTGTGGCGCGTATGTATTTGGTGCACCTTTGTACCAATATTTATGTGTTCATATAAATAAATAAATACATCAATATCTTCCGCCACAAGTTGAGGCAATACTAAACGAATGAACTTCCGTCAACACAATTTAGCCGATAGATGAGAAAGTTCAATCACAGTAAGAAACCGAGTTAACAAACGATGAATTCTGTTATCCCCGTAGTTAAATCAAGTTTCCCATACCCATTTATCAAATATTATGATGGAAATTATGGACTTATATGTGCCGTTTGGATGTGTAGGCACAAAGGAACTTCATGTTTATGGCTAACGATGGCTAGTTGGTTGCATTTCAAATGACGTAAATCGTGTTTTAGAGTTCCGAACAGATTAGTCTAGTTATTTCCAGTTCCAACCTACGATAGAGATGTTGCTGATGTAATACATACAGTCTTCTCTTTGCAACTCAAAATGGACTCAAGTAGGTCATATTCCAATCAAAAATCAATTGTCCTGATGAATACAAACCTTGGGTTTCTTTTAGACGTCATCTGGATACTAACCATAATTTCTTATGCACCAAACTCTTACAATTAGCAGATCGATACATTTTTACTCCTACATAAATTTACCGAACCAAATCAGTCGCAACCTAATAGTTAACATAGCCAGGTAAGACGTTGGCTGCCATTCAACTGGAAAAGTCATGTGATGATTGACTGAACTCACAAGACACTGTGAAAATCGTGAGCAAAGTCCATTTCAGACGTGTAGATTGTTCTACCTCAAAATGTAAGCTGTCATTCGAATAATATGTCGGATAATAACATATCAATTCGAAACCATAAATTACACTTTGGACACTAAGATTCCAACAGGGTGTTTAGGTGCTGTTCATGTCTCAGGCTAAGGTTAACAGTTTGACATTTAGACGGGTTAAGTGTGAGACCAATAACAACAGACCACCATTCAATACGAAACAAGGACTCATTCATTTCAAGGGAATGTGAAGAGGTAGAAATCGGCATACATACAGTGAGATAGTCCGCATACTTAACAAAAGTTTTCTGTGGAAAATGGTAGATCATGCAGAAAAAGTGGGAAAAGAAGAGGAGGGGAGGACAGCTCCTTGTGGCACACCTTAATGAGACAGTAAGGACATTGAACACTTTTCTCCAAACATAGTGTACTATCATCTTCCAAAAAAGTAGGAACATAGCCAGTCGGTTATCCAATAGTCATCGTTGACGCTGATTAACTTGTTCAGTAGAAGTTGTCTTGGAATAAAGTCAAAGGCAGAAGTGTAATCCAGAAAAGCGCACAGAACATACTTCTTACCCTTTACCAAGCTGAACACTATACTATGATGCAGAACAATAGCAGCATTTAAGGTGGTTCCTTTGCGGTTGGAAGCGAACTGGTACAGATCACTGTGCTCTTTTAGTGCAGGTTGAAGTGGGAGTAGCAGTAAATTTTTTATTGTTTTGAGAAAAGGTGAAGTTATCGCTATGGGTTTAAATTTAACATTTTTATCTCCAGATACTTTCCTAGGTATTGAGATTATATTTATCTTTCCTCACATTCTCGGTATGAATCAGTTGCGAAGGATCTGTTGAAGGTGCTTGTGAACGGATAACACAAAACGTTAGCACTTTTAAAAAGAAGGTTTGGGATTTCACCAAGTTCTAAATATTGGGACGAGCTAAGTGACTGGAAACATCAAAACATGTATCGTAATCATAGTGTGATCGGAATTCAAGAATCTTTGTTAAACGATCTAAAAGAAGATAGCTTAGTATCACAACAATATCTTAATATCTATCATCAGGATCGTTCAAACAGTAAGATTAGGTGTCACGGCAGTGTAGTTACATTTGTAAACGTTAACAGTTGTCAACCTAATTCATGTTTTAAGTTTTCAAACGACTTTATCAACTGTATAACTCTAATACGTCGTCCAAAACACTTGAAGTTTTGAAGGCAGTTAGCACGGTATGTGGTGAATCTTTGGAGGTCATTAGTGATATGGATGTTGACACACATCCGAAATCCTGCAAACTCCTGGCAGGCATTATCTTCTTAAATACTAACCATCCACTTCGTTCATATCTTTCTCCTTGTATATCAATACATGTCAATACATTAGAATCCATGAACCCAAGCAAAGGTATGAAAGTTCTACAATGCCTCATCTAGCAAATATACTATGTGACGAACAAGTTGTTAGAGTTTATCTAGTCAATAACTTGTATTCTTAAACATTTTTCTAATTAAAATGTTGTACAGATTCAAATCTTCTTTAAAAAACATTTCGCTTGATTCCAGGTGGTTTATCTACTTATGTATATATGTATGCAGTCACCAGTTTCTCTCGTTTTTTTCTTCTTTTTGTAAAAGAAACTTGCTGAAATACCTAGTGCTGAGAATATTATATTGTACCAAAAGTGTAATATTGAATAATAGTAATAGTGAAAATAAACACGGTGGGCTATAATTTTTAAATAGTTTGGTTAAAAGAGCTCTAAATTCAACCATCTACCTAAAACCAACACACTCAAATCGTTATATCGATTCCATTTCAGTACATTCATTCAGTGCAAAAATCTATCTAGCCTTAAATCTCTTTGGAAAATCAAACAAGATTGTTACATCTAAAAAGGGTAAACGAAAAGAACAAAAGCATATAATTAACATCTTACAATTTAATAATTCTTCCTATTGAGATTGCTAAAAGTGCGATAAAATGAGACGTCTTACTGTTAAATAATAATCCGAATGAAATATCATGGATTGGTACTATGGTTTTACCATACCGCTATGGTACAACAGAGCTCCAAAGAGTCTTAAAATAACACAGAGTCAAAGCATACTACAAAACAACTAACATACTCCGAAATGCTTTAGTTCGTATGAAGGCAAAAGCCCCCTTTATGTCGACGCAGAAAAGCGTCTACAAATTAGGATGTGTCGATTGTGATATCCTTTTATGTTGAAAAGCCATCTCAAGAAATCATGGCCCGAGCTAAAAAAACATCTTGAATACACAAGGAAACCACTTAATAATCATTCAGGACTGGCAAGGCTCCAAATTAGATCGGCAATAGCAGTTCATGCCATTTTCAATAACCATTAAATCGATATTAAAAATATCAAAATAATAGAAAAAGGCTTTTCCAACTACAAAAAAGGCGAGTAGCAGAAGCTTTTCAAAAATTAATTAATCCTACTTCCCTCAGTAGAGATCTTACTATTCATTCGACTTGGACATCTATCCAAACTACAATGTCTGGTCCTATTCACATCTCACACTATTATCTTCAGTCGTCAGTAATAAGGATAGTAGGTTGGTGAACCTGTGTTAATCCTGACAGATTGCTTTCCAGTGAGGGCCCAGCTTCTCCTTGAAAATATTCACTGGTCGGGCTGATACCACGAGTTCGGGTAATGCGTTCCAATCATTGACTACTCGATGAGAAATTCAACTCTATCTTTTCACATCACAAACGTCACATTTTTCGTTCATTGACATGCACAAAAATACACAAACATGTCTCACATAAAACACCTTAATTGGAATGACATGTCATTGACTTGATCAGACCTGTGTTTGTATTGATCGCACTAAATATTTTAGCCTTGTTTCTTTGTACTATTTAAACTTGGGTTATCTGATTTGTTTATTCATTCTCTGAAGAAGCGGCTTACACTGAGTGACGAGATGTTAGAAATGTAAGTTGAAGTTTTCTATGTATTATGTTACAAATATGTCATTATTTTGCAATAACAGTATATATATTTAACGACCAGAACGCATTAGGAATTAGATTAAGTTGTTCTGTTGAAGAAAGCGACATCAAAACCGTACCATGCAAGTATTTGAAATTCAGTATTGTTCTGAGGCCAAAATTCATTAATTTATAACTATAGTACTACTCTTAACCGTAATATATCCAATCAAAAATATACGCAACCTGTGATTGTGTTAATCTATAGTACGTTTACCGAATAAATATTCAGTTACTGTTCAACCATATTTCTAAACGTAAAACATTAGGACTTTCTGTAGCCAAGTTTATTTTTCAGAAACTCAACAAGCGGTTATCATTCAATTTTGAACATGTGCTGGCGAATCATAGGCAAACCAACTTAGCTTTAAAAATTACTGAATGGAAGAGTTTTTTTTACTTACCGGGACTGTTTTATCCCATTCTTTCATTAATGAATTTCGGACCATTCCTATATTCCCATTATTTTTGTGTCCCAAAGCTTTCAAATCCACAGAAGACATTAGATCTATTATAGGTGTAAGAGATTGTATAGTAGGTTTTGGTGTCGTGGATATGTCAAATACAACCAACTTATCATACCTTTCTGGCTGGCTAATAATCATTTAAAAGATAACTACTTTCATTAGAGCTGCGCACATAACCGCTTTGCCGCCCATACTATGGCCAACCAAGCATACGCTCCGCAGGCTGAGGTCATCTACAACCATGTGTATATCTTCAGCCATATTAAAATAGTTCATATCATCGGAATGTGGACTATTTCCGTGATTACGTAAATCAACGGCCACAATCTATTAATGAATGACTAAGTTTTATACACTTACAGTTCCACAGTTTTTCTGGGCTAACGCATTAGAAACACTCTTCCAATTATTCTTGGAACCCAATAAACCATGGCAGATCACCATACTAGATTTAAGCGAGGAATCAGCTGACTGCAAAACTGAACGAGATAGCCGCAGCGCCTTATTCATTTTGGCGTACAAATGGTATAAATGGTTCAAGAGTGGATGAAATACTTCAAAATGGAATAGAAGACGTTATCGCTTAAGGAGCTTCCGTATCTAGTAGTAGTGCATTGACAATACTTCCAGGCAGGAATCAAGTTATATTAACGATAATAGAGGGTGAAAAATAGAAATTGGTAGATCATAGTGAGAAACTGTCCTTAGTCCCTAAGAATATGTTACGTTTCTCCTAAAGGACCGTTGGGAAGTCGGCAGCAAATTCCAGCATTTGACAACTCTTAAGGAGCAGAAGTTGTTAGTTATCTAAAAAGGACAGTGGTATTGTTTCTCGTTGAATTAGTAAATTGTTTTGATCGTAAATTACGTATCAAAACTACGATTTACACTTTAATTGAATCTAATACAGTTAAAGTGATATTCTGTTGAGTTTTTTTGGCTTTTGTGTATTTATTACGTTTGAAGCATTCTTGGTCTGTATCAAAGTACTTTCGTTAAGGTTTGAAATCTTGCTAAAGTTTTTCTTGTGGTAACCTTTTATTCGTTGACTGACATTTGTGTTCATACTGTGATCATATTGTGTGTTACACCTTGATCAGACTAAAATGGTTGGTAGTACTCACAAATGTGGACAACCAAACTGTTTGTTCCCTGTGGAGGAGGGAATGCAGTGTGACGAATTCCATAAGTGGTTCCACAAAATGTGCACCCGCTTAAGTTCCACCGCATACAAAAGATGTTCGAAGACTAACTCACATTGGCTTTGCATGTTTTGCTGTGCCAACAAGGCATTACTAATACAGGAGGCTATGAGCCTATTGGCTTTGGCCTGTAAAAAGAAGGATGGCATATGCGCTGACAACACGGGCACTGACAGTGATGAATGTGTCAGTGTAGTACCTGCTGTTACGCGACGCCTCAAACAACCGACTCTGACCGACGTAAAAGTGAAATCTTCGTTGACATTAACAGGGGGAGTAGTACCACTTGGTACTGACATTGTTAATAATGCACCTTTAATGGGAACCGAAGATCTGGATAAAACAGTCACCGTTCCAAATAGTCCCAGTGTTATGAGGGATGAAAAATGGACTACGGTACGTAGGAAACGAAACGAAAAAAAAAGCTGTAAGCAGTACACAGGTAGTTAGTAACTCACTGGTGGACTCAAATTGTGAGCCACAAATTGCACTACCAAGATATGATGGTAAGAGTGAAACCCATCCTGGCGTGACTGAGAAGAAAAATCTAATAATATTGAATATTATTGTGAGCAAATTGCGGGAGTCAAACGACCCTGATCCGAAAATTAGACACGCGCATGACTTAGAAAAGCTAGGGGAATATGTAGAATTATGGTCTACTATGATATTAGTGCTGCTCTAATAATAGACCTAATCCTAAATTTGTAGATTTGTCATGATATAACTTCCTAATCTATAAGATCTTACGTGGAAGTCACACCATCGACTACGCCAACTCACTGTATCGTACCAATTAACAACACATGATGTAGAGCAAGGTTAGGCTAGAGAAAGAACAATATATTTAATATGAATAGAAGAAATAAGATAACATTCAACATGGACCACGCCTGCACGGCCGAGCCATGCCGTTCGATCAACTCTAATTCACTCAACTCATTGTTCGCGCCTTCTCCATTGTTAGGTATTTCCCCGAGTTAAATATTGAATATCTATTTTCTGAGTAGTCTCGTGTTCACAGCTTTGTGGATTGTGTGGCTATTGTCCAATGCTACTACACTACTCTCCCACCAGAATCAACGTGATGTTGGTTCGATACCAAATTGGATGGGATCGTCGCGCGCCGGAGGTTACCAAGGATAATAAGGATCCTCCGGGTATTGATAAGCTGAAAGATAAATCAAAAAGAAGGCGGCAGCATCTGGTCGGGAAATACATGTAATAATCTTAAAATATCTGCTTTCATGATTAACACGCTTAAAATGAAAATTTGGTTGAAGATTATTTGAACTATAAAAAATGGGATTACAATAATAATAATAATAAAACGATGCGTGTTAATAGCCGTTGGTTAATAACTTAACGTATAGGTAGTAAGTATTTTGTGTTTAGAAATATTAAAGTAATGAATATTGTAGAAATGTTAATATTGGTATTAGTTTTGGTTTAAACTATGAAATCAAATAACGATTATCCCGGTAAGTTGTCCATATGAGTTGAATTCCAATTGCATCTGTATTAGTAGGCTAACTGAAGGAACAAAAGTATACCGTGGAGAAGAATTCCAACTAGTGTTCCAGTTAGTTTGATACGGTTTATTTAGTTACGGGGAGATTTCCTAAACCTCATTTTTACTTGACCGTGATAGGATTTAGTAATACTACTAATACACATGAATGGTTATCAAAATAAAATTTAAATACATGAGTGGTAATTATATGGATTTTGAACAGATAGCTAGGAAAAATCGTTAAACATGAGTGTATTCGTAAGAGACATGCTCTAGACTCAATGTTCTGATCTGCCATAGAATATTTATTTTTATTTATACCTACCGGCTGATGGTGCATACAAGTTAGTTGCAAGTATGCAGTTTATCATAAGGCGGAATACGATTTAATTGAGATATAGTGGTTATAAGTTATTGAAATCAGTTAGGCCTGTGTCATATTACTAGGTGATGTGGTGCTGCAGGATGTATTCGGCTAAATAAGCTTTTACAAGATGATTAACAGTGAGAGATGCTCATGTGATTATCAGGAAGAACACAAGTTGTAACCAAGGGGAGTACACTCCCAACTCATGTCTATGATAATGGCTTGAACCTTAGTCAGTGTTGGGGTAAATTCGACATTGATGTTTTCAGTTTGCAGGAGATTTGCTCGACTGCTTATAATGATTATTTGCATGCATTGTTGTGTCGCTAAACCATCAATTAGACTGACAAGGTTTTGAGATATTTACTGAATGAGCAACTGGTAGAGAAACATACTGTAATCATCTGTAGTGAATGAAGATAAAAGAAAAACAACACTAGTGATAATTGTAAGTCGATTTGCTGACCGATTTTGTTAATAGTTTCATTAATATTATCAATCATATTACGTGATTGTCAAGTCATGACAATGCTTTATGACGATATCCTGAAACTATTATGTTAAACTAGTTATAGTGTTGATTGAGGATTAGCCAGTGGAAAAATAGGTATTTTTGCTTTAGGTGATTCAAAATTATCAGAAATTTGTAGTGTTACAGAATCCGAGACGCCTAATTATATTATAATTTTCAATTCAGAAATATTCGTTTAGTGGTAATTTTAGTAGGCTACGGAGTTTTCATTTTAAACGTTTGTTTAGTCAACAGCTACCTGGGGATTTAGTTATTTGACTAGTGCCGTTGATAGTACCTAAATTTGTAATTTATCTAAACTATGTCTGCATTTTAGGCTGCTACTATGATAAACCAATCCATAAACCCAAATACGATTAGCAACAACGACTATGATGGGTTTATTTATACACGTTAAAGGCGATTCAGATGATTTCTAAACTTAGAAGACATGAAGATATACTGTAACGTATGTATGGGCCAGGTTAACAAGCAGGTTGTTGACGTATATGACAATTAAAAAATAATGAACACGACCAGGCTGCTTATGAAACTTCAGGCAGGAATATGACGCGTTATAAGCATTCCATAAGAAGTTACTGCATTCAGCCTAGGGACACTTACAAATATATGGCAAAAGCAACTGGAAAACATATACATGTTAAGTAAAAAAAATCATTAAGTAAAATAGTTGAACTCGCCTGGGTTATTTTTGAAAATTAGATTATTCAGTGGACGATATATATAACGCCATTCGTGAGGAGTAGTAATGATCCAAAAGTATTCAGAATAAAACATGCAGTATGGCAATTAATTCCAGGGTGCTTGATGCTGTTGAGGTTTTTGACACTCGCTCGGATTAGAACAATCGAATGAATTCAGTTAATTGTGTGGTTGTTATTGAACGAGCCATCTAAAATGACCTTATGATTGCAGAAAACCTATAGATGAAACTCACCGTATGTTTTTGGAGAAGTGTCATCCTTGTTGTTTGGCAATGGAACTCGAAAATATGAAATTAGGCAGGCAGTGGTCAGAAGAAAAGATATTACAGGATAGTGCATAGTTTAAAACAGGATGAGGTGTTAGGTGAAGGAACACTGATAATTAGATCCCGATAACTATTTAGTCCTTGATTGCATTGTTAGTCAATGTATACTTACGCTATTTGCAGGTCATATATGCTAGAGCTTGATGTTTAAACAATTCTATGTTGCTGAAGCATGTAAATGCTATTAAAGCTTGTTAACGAACCATCAAAGCTAATTAGTTGATATAGATGATCAACTTTTATTATGGATTGAGCTAGTAAGTTATGTGAACTAATAGATATAACATTACGATAATATATGTGACCATTAATCAAAGGACTATTAGAATAGTGGGTTTACAAAAATAAAATCCGATTGAGAAGGTTAAGGTGGAAATAAGGATTAACAATAATAGGTTGCGTTTCTTTAGTTGGGCTCACCAATGTAGAATTATGGTCTACTATGATATTAGTGTAAGATCCAAACTACGGTTTGGATGTTGAAGAATAGCCGA